CTACTACATTAATAATTAGAGAGTTTAGAGGTTACTCAGTTACGCCAAACGGTTAGACTGGTCTCGATGCAAATTTCTATTGAGTTAGCTTAAGGTCTAGAACACAGGTTATTCGGGGAATAAAGGGCGTAATAATTGTAATGTGTATATTCCTAATGTGTCAAACATTTAGTAACTATAAAATTAACCATTCAATTATACCAAGATAATGTCTTTAGCTATATATATGAATAGCTGTGGCATCAAAGACGAGAGACCAGAGTTTTTATTACGCATTAATTTGAGATGAAAATTATTTTACGATGATACAAGTAAATGTACTTCTCTTCAGCAATGCTCTTAGAAATTTCATTGTTCTAAAACATTTATTATGGCTCATAGTAATAACATTATTTGATTATGTAAAAGATGTGAATGACTGGCCTTGCCAAAGTTATAGGCCCTTAACCCGAAAAGGGATTGTTTTCATCAAAACGTGATAATAAACTGAGTTCTATTTCAGGGAAATGAAAATAAAAATTGTTTAAAACAAAGTTCATTACATTAGGTTTATCACTTGGGTTTAATTATGATTGTGTTACAATACTTAGCATCATGTATGTTCCGCGAAAGGGTATATTTATAACACGCTTTTTCCTTTTAAATACATTTTAGCTTTTAGCCTTATTATAATTCTATAATTTGTAATAAATAGACTGCCTCGTTAGCCGAGTGGTCGCAAACGTGACTGCCGGGCCTTGGGTTCGATTCCCGGGTCCGGCAAAGTATAACTAGGATTTTTAAAACATTCTCAGTGGTAACACGGAGTCTAGACATGTGCTCGGTATATGGCAATAGGCTCACCTCCTATTATGTGGGACTTGTAACATATACAGTGAAAAGTGGGTGTTACATTGTACCGTGGCATTAAGTGCCGTAATGTGCACCTCTGCCTATCCTTTCGGGGAAAAAAGGCTTCATGTTCTGTTATATAATATATAGTGTGCAATATGTTCACAATATGATGTGCTGTTATAAAAATTCAATAAGCTATAATAATTTGACAGATAACAATATATTAACCAAATTCTTGTAGTCGATAATAATCGACCAGATGACAACAAGGTTTCTATTATTTTTTTCCAAACATTGGTTATAATATAGCCCACAAAAATAAGGGACATTTATTAGTATTCAAAACATGTTTCTGGCTAGACCGTTTTTCGTTGTTCTTTATTAAAAACACAATTATGTCAACAACACAATGTAGTGATATTTATATGACTATTATTCATTGTTGCGTTGACGGCAGTAGATGGTACCGTCTGCCCTTGACCGCGGTATACATAAAGGACTGAGGGTCAGATAAACTTTATATTTCTTTAATACTATGTAAAATAATGGATTTTAGAGGAGTTTTAAATTAGACAAAGGCTTGAACAATAGATTTAACAACTTAAATATTGAAAACCTACATACGATTAATACCTAATACATCAATATTAATAAAATGAATTCCGTTCGTTAGTCTCGCTAAAACTCAAAAACGACTGAACCG